TTCAGGGTAATGTTTGCAAAGCCCCTGGCCCAGCACCTGCACACAGCAAGCTCTTTGTAAAAGACAGGTGAAGAGATCCTTCCAGCTCAGGGCAAGCTGACTGGCTTAGCGGTTGGGGGAGAGGTCGTTCCCGGTTCTCCCGCAGCCGCTGCCCAGGCGAGGGCTGGCGAGTGAGCCTCTGTGTCCGGGCGTGGGCGTGGGTTCTGAAACCATCCACTGTTGTCCAGCCTGAGGGCTGGACAAGTGTCAGCTGCCACCCATACGTCGATTGGGGCAGGACCAGGCAGCTGCCAGGTTCTCCTTGGTGAAGTCACTACTCTTTTTCTTTCTGCAGATTCCAGGCCCTGGAGGAACCCGACAGTAAGTAGCCCTTCCTTGCCCCACCTCCCCGGCTTTGTGCCCCTAAAATCGGACTCTTTTGCTAACAGAGCCGCTGGTTCTGAGAACTGCTGGTGGGTCATTCCCCTCCCCCAGTGACCGGGGTGCGGGCTCCCCCTGCAAGTTCAGGCTGAGTCTGCCCCATGTGGGATGCTCTGAGCACAGTGGGCCCTCTGCCAGGCCCTGGCCAGCGATGGGGAGCTGCAACCCCTCAGCAGTCTCTGGCTCCTGGCTCATCCTGCCGGGGACTTCCAGAAGGGCCTGGCAGACCGTGGATTTGGTTTTGGCTACTTTGGGTGCCAGGTGGGGTCATTTCCCTTTTCTCCTTCACTCCGCTGTGGTTCTCATTCTCACAGCCGGAATGACAAATTCATAGCACAACTCTTTGAAAACTTAGCCATCCCGTATGGAGCACTTACCATGAGCCAGGCACCTTGCTTTGTGCTTCTCAGAGTTATCGTGGGTAGTCCTGACAGCACTCAGAGGTTGGTACTGTCGTCCATTTTACAAAAGAAGAAACCCAGGCACAGACAGGAGAGGTGGGTCCACAATTGGAAAGTAGATCAGCGAACCCTGGTTTGACTTGAACCCTGGTTTGTGTGGCTTCAAAGCTGGTACCCTGAACTCTTGCCCTGAGCTGGAAGGATCTCTTCACCTGTCTTTTACAAAGAGCTTGCTGTGTGCAGGTGCTGGGCCAGGGGCTTTGCAAACATTACCCTGAACCTACAGTTACCGGGGAGGGGGCCCAGACACCTGGCCCTCACCGGGCTGGGCCTGGCACCCTGCTCTGTGCCCAGCCTCCAGGAGCAGCCTCGGGGGCGGGGGGCGGGGGGGGCTGGGGTGAGAGAAGGGACGTTGCCCTCTGGGGCTGAGGGACGGGGCAGGACAAAGCACTCCATATGGCTGCGTCTCAGCTATGTATGGTTCACCCAATTTTTTTTTTTCCATTTATCAATTTTTCCGTGACTTTCTTTTAACTCAAAATATTCATAGATGGAGAAAGGTTTCCATCCTTTAATTTTTTAATATAACAGCAGAACCACAATATGAGTTCAGTTTCGAATTATGGGAGGTCACATTCAAGTATGCTTGGGTCAGATAAGTGGCTGTTACAATACCAGGAAATTTCATGAAAAAGGCATTTAATGATTTGTGAGATAAACATTTTTTGGCCATGGGAATCAGTGTTTTCACTGTAACTTGTTTAAAATGCCGTCTTTTAGACTTCAGATGATTATAAAAGGATAATCAGGATTGTGTAGATACACTTTGTGAATCACTCGAACTCATTCCATTTTGAAGGCTGGAGGTACATAGTATGCGTTAGAACATTTCATGAGACTTTTTTTTTTTCAAAGATTTTTTTTATTTATTTGTTTGACAGAGAGAGAGAAGGTAAGAGAGGGAACACAAGCAGGGGGAGTGGGAGAGGGAGAAGCAGGCTTCCCGCTGAGCAGGGAGCCCGACACGGGGCTCGATCCCAGGACCCCGGGATCATGACCTGAGCCGAAGGCAGACACTCAATGGACTGAGCCACCCAGGCGCCCCTTCATGAGACCTTTATACTTACCTATAAAAGTAAAAAACGAAACCACCATTTTCCTGAAGATATAGCTATTTTTAGAATACGTTAGTGTCGTCATACCCGATAGCTGTCCCGGGAGGTCATGGCTGCGGAGTTGGGGTGGGTCTGGAATGCACACTTGCCCACAGGGGCTTATAAGCATGGATTCCAGAGCGAGGTGCCAGGGTTCAAGTGCTGGCCCACACACTTACTTGAGCAAGTTACTTGACTTCTCTGTGTCTCAGTTTCCTGGTCTGTGAAATGGGGAGGGTGCTAATATTAGCCACCTTAGAGGGTGGTTGTGCGGATTAAGCACTGTATGGGATTCTGGCTCCTGTCGTTATTTGGTACAAGTTAAAAGCAACAGGACTTCTGAAACTCAACACAGGGCACCAGGCTCTCAAAGCCGAGAAGCCGTGGGTGGTGTGTGGCAGCTTGAAGGCAGAGAGGGAGACTCACTGGAGTCTACAGAGGTGAAGAAACGGGCTTCCCAGGGCGGCTGGGGGCACCCTGCATCAACTCCACACCCTCTGTGCCCACAGCAGCTGAAGAGTATATCGGTGGTGGAGTCAGGTATGGAAGAGCTGAGGTTAATGAGCCCCCCGCCTGTGAAGACCTCCCCCAATGGGGCAGCCTGCCTGGAGAGCATGCGGCTGCTGGAAGCCAGCCCACCCGCCGCCGGGAGCCCCTCATCCCCCAGGGACCTTCCCGAGCCCCGGGTGACTTCAGAGCATACCAACAACAGGATCGGTGAGTCTGCCGATTTGGAGGGTCCTGGTGTGGTCAGGGCTGAGGGGGCAGGGGGAGCTGGGCACTGGACCCTGGGCCCCCGACGGGAGCCAGAGACCCTGGGGCAGGAAGGCCCAGCGAGGAAGAGGCGTGGGTTCTCCTGCTGGCCCTTGTAAGTAGGAGCAGCTTTTTGGGGGAGAGTTAAAGCTTGTTCCGTCTCGGTAGCCCAATTTAAATTTCTGGAAAATCGGTGTAATAGTGATTCGGCCCTCACAGGGCCATTGCAAGCATTTGTGAAGTTGTCTGGGTGAGTGGGGGTGAAGGTTGGGGAGAGAGGCTCCCCCTTCCCCCGGGCCTGCCAACGTTGAAGTGGGACGTGAACGCTGCTCCCACCCCCAGCAAAGAGCCCCTTGCTGGGACAGGAGGAGACATGCCAGTGACAATAAGACCAGCCACTTGTCTGGGCGGAAGTCTTCTCTTGTCACGTGGCCTTCTGAGGACAGTGTCTGCCTCCCCTTTTCACACCCGGAGCAATGGCACTGTGAGGTAGGTGCGGGGAGATGTTCCCTGTCACATAGCTGCGGGGTGACAGAGCAGGGACTCGGCCTCACCCCGTGCCCGCGGGGCTCTGAACCCCTTGGCTTGCCCTCACCGGCGCGGGCCTCAGCAGACGCATTGAGGCCAGCCCTTCCCGAACTGCCGCCGCCCTCTGCCTCAGGCAGACCTTCCGCTTTGGCCTCCCAAGGGTCTCCCTGCCTTCTCTCCCGCTTCTCTCCACCCTTGCACACCAGAGTGTCTCCACCAATATACAAGCCTTTCCTGTCTGCACCCCTACTTCAACCCTCCTGGGGGTGGGGGGTGGGGGTCCCTGTCCCTGTCAGGATGAATTCCAGGATTCTTATTCTGGAGTTCAGACTGGTCACTGGTCACGAGCTGCCTCCTCCCCCCAGACTCACCTGCCTCCTGACCCCTCTGGCCTACTTCACCCACCCACTGGCAGTTTCCAGAGTTGACAGAGCCCTACCTCCCTTTGGAGCTTCTCTGTGGGAGCTGCTTCCTCACCTGGGACAGCCAACTCCCCCTTTGAATCTAGTCAATTCCTGATGTCCTGAGGCCACTGCTTATTTGCCTCCTCCTCCAGGAAGTCTTCCTGGCCCTCTCCACTCTCCTGTCTGGACCAAATGCCCCTCTGCTATGCTCCCTCACACGCTGGGCCTCCATACCCAGTATCCTCAGCCCCCAGCAGTATGACTGTATTTGCGGCCTCCCCACCTCCTCGCCCCCACCTGGCTTTGAGCTCCCTGAGGGCAAGGCCTTAGTGAGCTCCATCTCTGTCTTCTCTGGAGGGTTAACTATTGCTGGGTTAATACCAGAGAGGCATTTGTAATTGTCCTACACATTTCTATAACAGGCATTGGTGGATAGAACTCTTTGAGGCAGGGTCTTTAATATGAAACCAAAACTTTTGGCATTGTAGCTTTCAGCACGTTTTATTTAAAAAGAGGGTTATTTGGGGCAGTACCACCAAAGCATCTCCTTTAAATTTCCTAAGAAGTCCTAACTTGAACATTTGGGTCTGTGCTGAGTGCAGTGCCCGGAACTGCGGGGGCAGGTGGAGGGAGGTACTGGGCTCCCAGGATGGCTGGGGTGCGGCCTGTTAGCCTCGCTGGGAAGCAGGGTGGTTGGGAGAGAGGGCCTTGGAGGTTCGCTCAGGAGCCTTTTGTCCTTCTGACACCATCCCAGGGGGCACCCCCTGCCCCACTGAACCTGTCTAGTACCCCAGGGGGACCAAACTGCAGCCTGAGCTCTATCCCTCTGCCCCTGGGCACCAGGCAGGGGGAGCCCTTTCACCTCCCACCCCACCAAGACAACTTCCCTGGATTCTAGAGCTCTGGGTGGGTAGAAGGTTCAAGCAGCTCCTGAAAGACCCTCCTTTCCCCTCCCAGCTTGTGGCGGGGGTGGGGGGGTGGGGAAGGGCAGCCCTGTGATGAGGGATAGAGTCGGAGCAATCAGGACCCTCGGAGGTGAGGGAGGGATAGCCTGGCCCCTGGCTTTGGCTTCTTCAGACAAACCCACCTCCACTTCTCTCCCACCCTGCTCCGTATGCCTCAGCTTCTCCTCTAGTCCTGTCTGGCTGCTCTGTGCCCTGTCTCGCTCCCCAGGGTCCCCTCTCTTTCACCACCTCTGGCTCCCACCTCTTCCTAGCCCATCTGCTCAGGCTCCCAGGGCAAAGGGCCTGCAGGCCTTGGTGGAGGGTGTGTGGCTGGGGCCTGGGGCCCTGCTTTCTCTTTTGGGGTATGTGAGGGGCTTGCCACACTTGTAGCTTTCCTCTAGTCCTCTCTGCTATTTTGAACACTTCCCTTTTTCCTGGAGGTGTTAAAAATCAAAACAGAAGAGCCAGCATTATGCAATTGGGTGGCGGGTGCAGGGCCCCCAAAGATATTTTGGGTGTTCCTAAATCAGAGGGGTATAACTGGGTGACCCAGAGAGGTAGGGGTCCCCAGCACCCTGCTCCACCCTAGCTTTCAAGTTCCCTCTTGAGCGTCCTCATTCAGACTCTAGAGAGAGTCCCAGGGCCAAGCTGCTGGGAGCTTGGGACCCTGCCCTGAGCTCAAGGCCATCAGAAGCTGGGCTGAGTGAAGGCCAGGCTCCTTACTTCCCAGCTTCTTGGGCAGCTTACTTAACTCCCCTGAGCCTCTGAAGCGCCCCCTCCCACCCCCGTCCCCACAGTGGATGGTGGTGAGGACTGCAGGGGGTCCTGCCTCTAAGGGGCTGCGCTGCCGATTCATCCAAGCAACACACAAGCAGTCCTACTATGCGCAGGTCACGGCCCAGCCGTGAAGGCCTCAGGCGGGAGATCGGCCATAAGTAACAAACACTGAAATATGGCCCTGAGCGAAGAATCACAGGCTGGTGTTCGTTATTAACAGGGCTGGGGTTCTTAGACTGTGATCAACTGTCTGGATTTACCTGAACTGAAAAGGTCCACAGGCCACAGGACCTTCACTACAACAACCAGGAGCAGCCCAGGCGAGCCGGAACACATTGGTCACCCCAGGTTTCTGATGTAGGCACGCGGACAGGAGTGGAAAGGGCAGCTAGTCGGGTGGGAGTTTCTGCCGAGATTTCTACTAACTGCCTGGCGACTTTGGGCCGGTCATTTAACCTTTCAGGGCTTTAGGTTCTTTGTATCTGTCCACGGGGACAAGAGTAGGCTGTCTACCGTGCGGCAGTGGTGTGAGGACTCAGGGGTCGTGTGGAAGGTTCTGGACGGTGGCCAGCACGTCCGCTGCTCACTGGGGCCGCAGTCCCTCCCTTCTCTGCCCCAGGCTCGCTTTCTCTCCCAACGCTGTGCTCTCCTTCCCTACCCCATCCCCACCTAAATGCTGAGAAGATCATGAGCCTCTCCCACAAGGGAGCCAGTCTTAGCATGCAGTTTCTAGCTGTTTTATGTCCTTTGAGCCTCAGGACACCTGTGAGGTTGATGGGGCTGGCGGTGTGTCAGAGAGATTGTGTCATCTGCCTGAAGCCACACAGTAGGAGAGACAGAGTTGGAGCTTGGACCCTCCTCTGCCTCCTCACCCTGTCCAGCTAGGGCTCCGGTCCCCTCACTTTACCCATCCTTTTGCCTTGCAGAGAAGATCTACATCATGAAGGCTGACACAGTGATTGTGGGGACCGTGAGGACTGAGGTGCCTGAGGGCCGGGGCCTGGTGGGGCCGGCGGGTCCTGAGTTCGAGGAGGATCTGGAAGTGGACCATGCTCCCCACTTCCCAGAGCAGGAGACAGAGCCTCCTCTGGGCAGCTGCGGGGATGTCATGTTCTCAGTAGAAGAGGAAGGAAAGGAGGCCCCCTTGCCCATGGCGGTCTCCGAGAAATGAAGCCTGGCCTGGGTTGGGGCTGAGAGGGCAGTGGGGTGCCCCCCCGGGAGGCCAGGGTGGCGCTGGTGGCAGAGGCCCCGTGTGGCCTGGACTGAGGTTCCACATCCAGGGGTAGAGCAGCCTGGAGCAAGGGGGTTCTGGTGGTCTCTAGCTGCATCCCCCCCGACCACTGCCCCCCAGCTCAGACCCTCGGGGAGCCTGGGCTTGTGCAGGAGCGACAACCTAGGGGCTGGATCTGAATGGCAGTGTTTGTTGGAACAGCGGACAGACAGCAGAGACTGGGCACCTTGTCTCCTGCCAGTGCTGGGAAGATGCCCCCAGGGCCTTGAGCATCACACCGCTGGGGCCGGGGCTCACTTGCGGCGGAGGCATCCCCCTGTGCCTTCTACTCTCACGTGGACCTTGCCGCCATGCCAGCAGCCCCCAGTTACTGTAACGTGGCCCCCTGTGGGCACTGAGCCAGCGCCTGCCATGGTCGCTCCTGAGTCAAAAGGGACGTCGTCGGCTGGCCCCATCTTGGTAACAGCCAGCGCACGGCGCTCTGTGCCCTGTGTCCGGGTGAGTGCCCAGCCTGGCCCCCAGCCCTGCCAGGGCTCGAGTGAGACCCTCCTGGTGCTGCCAGCCCTCCCCTATTCTGTAGCCCTCACGGTGGGCTGGAGGCCTGGGGTCCCTGGCTGGTCTCACCAGGTCCCCACCAGTCCCCTCCGTGGGAGGCATCTTAGGACCCAGAGGTCTGCAGACGCTCAGCAGCTGTAGCACCCTGCCCCCGCAGGAGACCCTCCCCAGCCAGCTGCCGCCTGGAGAAGGGCCTGCTGAAGGGGAGCCCTGGGCCCTTCCTGGGTCCTTGCCTGCTCCGTGGGCACCTCTGCTCTGTCCCGGGGACATGCGCCTTCCCCACACCTGCCACGCCCTCGGAGCCCAGTGGCCCCCGCCCTGCCCTTGCGCTCCGGCCCCCAGCACCCATGGCTGGGATACAGATGTCGGAAGGCAACACCATTTCGCCCAGACATCCTGCCTTATTCCGGATTCTCAGAAAAGCAAGTAGTCCAGTCTGGACTTGAGGACTTTTGCATTTCACGCTAAGGAGTAGAGCTGTCCCGACTTGGGTCTGCGGGCCGGCTCTCCCCAGGGCTTTCAGACTCATGTAAGCAAACCAGGGGCCTTGGAGAGGGACGTGTGGGCAGATGACAGGGCTGCCCGCAGCTCAGGCCGTTCAGTCTCGGCTGCCTGGAGGCCCCTGGAATTACCCACTGGAGGCCAGGCCTAGGAAAGCTGCTATTTACCCGCCAGCCTGCTCACCACTCTCTGAAGGAAGTTGGGGCTGGGTCAGGAATCACAAGGTAGTTTCTGAAATTACTCAGATGTTTGGGGGAAAGGTGGAGAGGCTAGGACACCGAGAGGGACTCACACCGGAACCTGAAGACGTTGCCATGTGGTGGACAGTATTTGCCCGGATGTCTCTTGTGGGGACAGCGCGGGCGCACCGCGCCTGGAACTCCGGCTGGAAGGGACCCGAAGACGTCCCACCCTGCTGAGCAGGACACTGGCAGTCTTGGCTTGAAGATATGGACCGCATGTTGGACGAAATGAAGCACTCCTTTGCCCAAAGTCCCTTCACAAAACCTCTGATCCTCTGAAACCTTTGATCCTCAGAAAATTTGTAAGGTCGCTTAAAAATAACCAATCGTAAGTTTCAGGAAATGATCTTTGAGATTGAGTATTTGAGAATGTCTGAGCAGGAATGGTCTGGGCAATCTCTCTCCCCCCAGAATAGCAGGTTCCTCTTCCTCCCCCTACCGAGGCGGCCAGCTTCTATGCTCTGTGTGCTGTGTCGAAGTGAGTGCCCAGCCTGGCCCCCAGCCCTGCCGGGGCTCGAGTGAGACCCTTCTGGTGCTGCCAGCCCTCCCCTATTCTGTAGCCCCCAGAGTGGGCCTCGGGTCAACTGACTTGTCTCACAAGGTCCCCACCAGTCCCCTCTGTGGGAAGCATCTTGGGACCCAGAGGTCTGCAGATGCTCTGTGCAGGGAGCCAGCTACCTGCTGGGGCAACCATTCCCACTGCTGGAGGTTTTTCTTTATCCTCAGAGGCAAACCCTTCCTCCATGTAATTCCCACTCCCTGGTCTAAGACTTGTCCTCTGAGGATATTTAAAAGAAAGCCTCTCTTGCCATAAGTCTCCCTTTGGGTATTTGTAGAAAGAGATCCTGAGCCTCCCCGTGGCCCTCCCTCTGGACGGGGCTGAGCTGCCCCGCAGCTTGGGGAAAGGGAGTTCCAAAGTAGCAGCATGAATGCCCAGCTTTGGGGGCAAGGAGAGGACTGAGGGGTAAATGGAAGCCTTGGACTTGGGGCCTGAGCTGGAAAGGGCCCAGCCTGCAGCCCTGATCACAACTCAGGGCCAGTGGGGGGCCTGCTCCCCACCGCAGGCAGCTGGCCCGGAGCTCCCCTCTTGACTGTGGCGCACCTGTGGGGTGGACGAAAGAGACAGAGGGCTGTGGTCAGACCTCACCCACCCCATCCCCAAGACTCCAGCTCATGCCCAGACCTCACAATCAAACCCAGCCATTTACCCAGTGTTTCCCTGCCACGTGGTTGGTCCGAGAGCCGGGGCGAATTTCCCTGCCCTGACCAGTGATCAGGGACCATTTCTTAACCTCTGTCCGTTCTGACGTCCAGGTGGGCAGAGGACTCAGGGTAGCGGACGGCAGGCCGTAAGGGAGCCTCCCACGCATGAGTGACATTCATCTTCCTGAACACTTGTATTCAGGGAGTGACGGTAAGTGACGTGTCCTAAGGAAGCTAGGCAGGCTGGTAGGTTGTAAGCTGTTTTCGGTTTATAGAATCTCTCAGGCCAGGGCCATTCCCTGAAATGGAACAAGAGGCTCAATCTCCAGAGCCTCTGTGTCCTCTCACTGCTCCCCGGGGCTGAGATCTTGAAGAGCAGTCACCGGGGACTGGCTTGTTGGGCTAAACAGAAATGAAAATCTGTGCAGGGACAAGGCAGCTCTCTTGCTGCAGGTTCTTGGGTGCCTTCTGTCCCACCCACACTCTTGACCCTGTCCTCTAAGAGAGAACAGTGGGGGAAGTATGGGGTGGGAGGGGCAGGGCCTGAGACGGAGATGAACTCAGGGCAGAAGGCTTGAGTGGAGGTCACAATGAAAATATTAAAAGTTTCGAGGTCGGCTCTGTGGGCCTCATGAGGAGCTGGCAGAGCCCACCTGGGGCTCCTGCACCCTCCCACATATCCTTTACCCTGGCCCGGCACCTGTGATGGGCACACACCCCGAGACCATGTCCAGGGACTTGCTGTGAGCACGGTGCAGGCAGAGAGGCCTGCCCACCACTCTCTGGAGCGTAGACACAGAACAGCAGTGATGTGCAGGTGGGGATGGCTTCTGAGGTCAGACTTGGGTTCAAATCCCGGCTCTGCCACTTACCAGCTGGGCGATCTTGGTTATGGGAGGCCCAGGGGGTAACACGGGTCTGGCTGTTTCCTGGTCTGCGAGGTGAGGGTATCAGCCCCTATCTGGTAGGGTCGTGGGGTTCTGTTAGAGGCCACCTGGTCCGTGGCTCGTGCTTGCTGCTGGCCACCTGTGTCCTGGGTGCAGCATGGCCCCACCTGCCATGAGCGAGTCCTTCCTAGGCTGGCAGAATTCAGCTCCAGGTAACCTTTGAAAGCGTGTTGTAATTGGTGGTTGGTTCCAGTAAGCCTGTGTTGGCTCGGGTAAGGTTCACCAGGGCTTTCAGGCTCTCCTGGGACCTGGCCTCCCTTGCCGCCAGATTGCAGTGGGAAACCCCACAGTGAGTAGACCCCTTCTTGCTCTGTGGGGTGCCCTAGAGAACCTCTGAAGTCAAAGTCCTAGGACTGGGCTGCTTGTTAGATGTCTGAAACTCGGGGTGTTTGCGATGTGCTGTGGGTCCCTCTGCAGGGGACGTCCTGCTCATGGTTCTGGTGCATTCCAGTGCATTGCTGCTTAAGATCTTTCTTGAGTGGCCTCCCTCGCCCCCTTCTTCCCTGTCTCCCATCCTTTTAAAAACACCTAAGATGAGCCAGGCCCAAGTCTAGCTGTAGAGGATATACTGCCCTCAGACAGACTTGCTGGCGTGGGTCCTGTGTCTGGTAGATGGAGACTGATGACAGTGCCTAACTGATCAGTGAACAAGGTGATTCCAGAATTCATCATGCTGTGTGCTATGAGAAGCCCCCATTAGGGGTCTGTGGCAGAGTGTCTGTAGCGGAGGACCAGCTCCAGCCAGGTGGCCGGGGAAGGCTTCTCAGCGGAGATGTCCCCTGAGCTCAACCTGAGTGACATGACAAGCTGGGGGCGGGGGGGGCTGGGGACCTGGGGGCAGAAGATTCCGGGAAGTTAGGGGAACAGCAGCTGCAAAGGCCCTGAGGTGGGAATGCTTCTGGCCTTGAGATTCAGGAAGCACAGCCCAGCGGTAGAAGCAGGGTGGAGAGAAAAAGGAGGTGAGCGGGGAAGCCGGCCGGCCGGATCACTTAGATTTTATCATAAAAACATCGGTCCACGGTTATGTCTCTTTTTCTCTATTAGAACAATAAACATCCTGGTATTATCTCAGGACTAGGCCTCAAAGGCCCAAGCAGAGGCACCAAAGGTTGTTTTAACCTATTTCTGAGGGAAGTCTAGGAAGGAGGCAGCGGCGGCTGGGCGCCAGGAGGCAGTTGGCTGAGCTTTCTCAGAAAAGGCAGAGAGTTCAGACTGCATTCCTGGCTGATGGCAGTGCAGGGTCCATGGCTGATGTCACTGCGGGGGGCTGGGAGCCGGGGAGTCTAGGTTCCCCTTTCTTCGGGTGTCTTCCAGGAGAGTAAAAACCACACCAAAAATTCCTGGGGGAGGCTGGAGCCTTTGTGTTTGGGTGCGGGGGTGTGGGGCCTCTTCGGACCCCGGCCTGCACGCACCCCCTTCCATTCATCAGCCCGACTTCTCCTGCCCAGGAAGGGTGCGGCTCCATCAGGGTTCACTTCCCGCTCGAGCAGTTCCAGCCACGTAGCCCCCAGCTTCGGTTTCCTAGATCTGCAACACGGACGTAATAACCCCCTTACGAGATGGTGAGGCACCGAGGTAACCCGGGTCAAGTGCTTGGCCTGGCTCTAGGCACCTTTCCTGTTCGGTACGGGGCGGCCCATATAGGCATTTCAGGAGCTTTTGAGTTGGCTCCCGCCTTTCTGCATTCTTTCTGTGTTCGGGCTTCATTCATAATAGCCGAAAGGCTGAATATCAGCACTGTGTTTAACAGACTAGGGCTCAGAGAGGCGCACCGACTGACCCACTATCACACAGCCAGGAAGGCGCCCTCCCGTCCACGTGGCTGGGCTGCCCCTGTGGTTGGGGCCACGTTTATATCAAGGTTATCATCGGGCCCTGTGCCCTCTGGACAAGCAGAGATGGTCGCAGGAGGCTGGGTAACCTGCCCGAGGTCAAGCGGCAGGCCAGGTGTGGCTTTCTGAGTCCCCCTGGCAGGGCAGGAAGGACACGGAGCTGGCCCAGGCAGAGCCTCTGTCTTCGGAGCTGCGCTCCCTGAAGGTGGCCTGATTCAGGGGAGACTCGGGGCTGGGAGTACAGGCAGTGCAGGGGGCCTCCTGATGATGGTACCGCTTTGTGCGTTCTCAGCCACTCCTCGTACCCCACTCTGCCCCACGCCCCCGCGGAGCCCTGGAAGGAAGATGAGTCAGGGGCAAACCTCCCCAGATCACAGATGGGAAAACTGAGCTCCATGGAGGTTAAAGGGGTTTGGGCTAAGGTCCCAGCTCAGTGCTGCCTGCTGGAGACACGGCTGGGGGGAAATCACCGTTCAGTCCAGGTGAAGGGTAAAGATGACTTGCTGCTTTTTATTCTTCCTTTTATTTATTGACTTTTTAAATTTGGCATTAAAACAAAAGTGCGGTGAGTTGGGTTCTTATTGATAAGGCAGCTTTGCAGGCGTCGAGGCGGTCCCATAATCAGATGGGAACATCACACGAGCAGTCTGCAGCCTCACGAGCACGCGGCTTGTTCAGTCCAACAGGGCTCTTGCTTTGGAGGGCCAGCGAGCGCTGGGTTTAATGCTTTGCTGTGCTGTCCGAAAAACTGTGCATTTTTGAACAAGGGGCACTCTGTTTTCCTTTTTCCCTGGGTCTCCCAAATTAGGTGGCTGCTCTGCATCAGGGGCAGCAGCATTGTCTGTCCGGATTGTACTCGATGCAGAGGCAGTTTCCACACTTGACTGCTTACGATCACAGTGACCATGATTACAGATGAGCTCGCTCAGCCCCATTGTTCAATAAAGTGGAGTGGCTACTAACTGACCTCAGCCGTCCCGGTTATCTCTTGCTACGTCATAAACCACCTCAAAACTTAGCGGCTTGCAACAACATCCGTCACTGATTTTGCTCACAAATCTGTAGTTTGGCCGGGGCTTGGCGGGAAAGCTCACCTCTGTTCACTGCTGGCCTGGGGGGATCGCACTTCTGACAGAGCAGGCAAGTTGGTGCGGGCTGTGGGTTTCTCTCCACAGGCCTCTCTCGGGGAGGCTAAGGCTTCCTCACAGCATGGCGGCTGCGTTCCTAGAACAAACAATCCCAGCGTAGGAAGTGGGACGCGCCAGGTTCTTAAGATCAGGGCCCAGCACCGGGCCCAGCATCACTCTGGCCGCACACTATTGGTCAAGCAGCCCCAGAGCCCAGGTTCAAGGGGAGGGGCTGCAGACCCCCCCAGCCCGTGAAGAATTTTGAGATCTTACTATGTGACAGGCACTGTGCTTAACGCTTTGCATCCTGCCTCGTTTCATTCTCCCAGTAATTGGACTCTTCTTGCTCCCAAAGTTGCCTCAAGGAAGCTAAATCACGTGTCCAAGGTCACCTGGATGGAATTGGAATTGAAGTTGGTCTGTGTCCAGAGTGTGAGCTCTGACCTCGGGGACACCCTGTGCACTCAGGAACCCCCACAGGCAGAATGTGGCAGGGCCAGAAATCAAGCCTACCTGTTTGATTCGAGAACGTTTGAGGCTTTCAAAATAATCAGCCCCAACACCCCAGTTTCCACACGGAGAAACTGAGGCTGCCAGAGCTCTTGCTGGGTGTCTTCTGGGAAGGGGGGCAGGGTCTGGCACCTTCCGGGGCCGGATGGGGGGCCCCCCTGTCGGGGCTGCACCCAGCCTGGCCAGGAAGTCACAGAGAGCTGTGGGCAGATTATGCAAGAGGCTGTCATAGGGACATTGTTTTTCGTTGTGATTACACTTCACTCAGGAAATACCCACAGCCTTGGTGTGGAGGGAGGAAGGTTTCGTGGCAGTTGTCAAGGGAGGTCTCCTCACTGCAGGCAGAAGACCCCTCGTGAACCCTGGGGCACACTCGAGATGGACCAATGTGCCCTGGGACAGGTCCAGGCACACGGGAAGTTCTCGGAGAGCCTCCCTGTGCCCCTGTGAGCTGGGCTCTGACAAAAGGGGTAGATAGAGCTCCATCCCTACCATCCAGGAAGTCATATAGTCGTTAGAAAGACAGTTAAGAACTCTGGCTTATCAAGACTTGCTGTGTTCTCCTTGCAACCCCGAGGCAGTGATTACTATCGTTATCCCTATGTTCCGGTGCTAGGAAACAGAGGCACAGAGTAGTTGGGTCACTTACCTGAGGTCACACAGCTGCTAAGTGGGGCAGCCAGCATTCAAACCCAGGCCACCTGGCTGGAGTCCAAGTTCCCAACCACGGGACCATGCTTGTTCCATTGGAGCTGAGGCTGGGGTCACCACTGTGCTGGCGGCCCCACCCCTGAGTCCCAGGCCCTGCAGAACTCGCCGGGGCATCCGCCGGGCTCAGTAAACGTACAGCGAATGGAGTTTGCCTCCCAGCCTCCAGCCGCCTTGTCCTTTCCGAAGCCCGGCTCTGACCGGGCTGTTCTCACACAGAACCTTCGATGATTCCCCAGTACCTGTAGGCCGAAGTCGGCCGGTCAAGCCCTCACAGGCAGGTCCGGCTACCTCCCGTGGCTCCTGTATCCAAACCACTCTGAAACACGGCCGTGCCCCGCCCCCTCCATCACCAAATACCGGGGGCACGTCT